CTTGTTTTGTGCCTCGATTCCTGACGGATAAATGCGCTTCAGAAATGGAACGTGTTACCTTGTTATTTTGGACTTCGCTCGTTGTTTTGTACTTCTTGCGTATATCTAAAAATATATTAAATTGCTAAACACCTACCTATTCCAGGTAACGGTCCATCAGTTGGAGTCACACCAGAGAGCGTACTGATTCAGTTGGAAGAGTTGAGGAAAGAGAATATGGCAATCCGCAAGGAAATGAAAGAATTGAGAGAACTTTATGACAATTTAGACAAACGTATACTGGTTAGTAGCATTTTATTGAATTTCGTATGTGCATGAGTTGTTAGTATTTCTTCTATTAATTCCATTTCTTATTCATTTGCCGGTGTGAATTTCAACTGCTTCCACAGTTGGCTATAAGGTCGGGATAAACTATGATTGCATTGTGAAAATCATTTGATAGATATGTTTGGTTTGTACTGTTACCGTAACTGTGATTAATTGTCTGAGTCGTTGTTAATGCACTGTCTTGATTGAACTGTATTGATTGAGTTGAATATCACATCAAGACGTTTCATAGCCATTTGGAGTGACGAATGAGTGGTGTAGATGAGTTTGATAGTGGAGTTATTCACTGATAACGATTGCAGCCGATTTGCTCGACCAGAAATTGGCTAAGTGGATTAGGAAGACGCTTACTGATATTGGGTGATGGTAATTTATCATTCAGCGCTTCGATCGTTTCAATGCTATCATCAGATCTCGATCTGATTGTGGCTACGGTTTTCGAATACGAACATTTATTCGGGTTGCGTTATCCATCAGCGATTGAAATGCTCGAGAGACTGAGAGATTCATATCCACGTGTTCGTGTTGTATTTGCTGTTGATGCACGACGGATTCCATCCGAGTGGATGACAACGTTCCGATTCGATGATATCATTTGGAATTTCCCACATCCTGGTTGTAAAACAAACTTGCGCAAAAGTCGACAGCTGATGAGAGATGTCTTTGAGAGTGTGTCCTCTTCACTACCAAATGCGAAATTTCATGTAACATTAGCAAGGAATCAATCAGGTTTAGATCATGAATCAGTCATATGCAACAGAAATCTTTTCCAACGCTCAACTCCACCATCACATCGCTCTGATAGTTGGCAGATTGCTTATTTGGCTGCTGAATCAGATTACATTATCGACGCAGTGCATTCCTTTGCTCCTCAACTGTTTCCCTTTTACAGTGCTTCTGGATATCGTAATCGTGATCGACGTTTTCACAACGATTCCAACGCTGAAACATTCACTTTCATTAAAACTCCAGCTATAAGCGTCTTGCACGAATTGAAGAAATACGAGATGAGAAAAGATGACGAAAAGAAATTTGGATGCTTCCATGAGTTGAGGCCATATTTTAAGCATGATATCTCGATATTGTTTGAAGAAACAAATGAGATATCGTATTGGGAAGGTGTTTTGTTTGAGGTGATCCATGAAGCGTGTGGTTCACTTGTGGTGACCATTGAAGAATTAGAAGAATTGAGATCCTTTGCTCCGAACGGTTTGCCGAATCGAATTTATCGACTCATATGGCAGTCATGGAGCAAAGCGTTAAGTAAAAAGTTGTGCAATTCTCTGCAAGAACAACTTCGAGATTTTATTGTGTTCGTTGTGAAGAAACGTCACTTGAAGATGGTGTTGACTTGATATCACATTCTTCTCTCTTGCGCTGAGGTCTTCTTCAATGCTGTTCGGAAATGATGATTTGTCATTTGTCTAGTTAAGAATATNTGAGATGATGTCAACGGGTAATGATTATGTATCTTGTTTTAACTTGCAGCAAGGTGTTGCCAGTTTAATGTCAAAGCCTGCTGAGCAGGCAAGTGGCAAACCTGCCGAGAAGCCATCTGCCGGAGGGGCTGATGGTGACGAAGATTTTGAATTGTTTGGTTCATCGGATGAAGAGGTCGACGAAGAGAAGGAACGTATCAAAGAAGAGAGACTGAAGGCTTACGCAGCTAAAAAAGCGCTTAAGCCAGCGACTATCGCAAAGTCGTCCGTTATTTTAGATGTTAAGGTCGGTTGATCTTTCAGAACGATTTCTCTTCGTTTTGCAACTTCATCCATTTTGATTATTTTGTTCAAAGTTTAGCGTTTTTTGTTCAGCTTGAGCATTTTGTGCAATCTTGAAAGGTTTTCTGATCGTTTATTCCACTTCTTAAGTGCGTCATGTAAATGAGTTTTTGTTATTCATATGACCAGCCAAATTTTAGTTTATTGTTGGTTGCGCAAGTGTATAGTCTTGATTTTTCATTTATTTTTGGGATGACTTTCAAGTTCAGCTAACGTGAGTCTGAGGATTTCAGCCTTGGGATGATGAAACACCAATGGAGAAACTAGAAGAATTCGTTCGCGGAATCGAGAAAGACGGCCTTGTCTGGGGTGGTGGTGAGTGATTGTACTGCACATCAGTCTTTTATCATTTATTTATGATCTGTGACCCTACGGATGATATCTGATTGAAAGGACTAAAGTGACCCTTTTCATTGCTGTTATAGCAGGTGTATGGTAGATACTTTTGTTTTTATTACAGTTCACATAGAGATCCTTCGAGTTCTTTTTTTNTTTTTTTCTTCAGGTAAGCTAATTCCACTTGCTTATGGCATTAGGAAGTTGCAAATCATTTGTGTGATCGAAGATGAGAAGGTCTCAGTTGATGACCTCATCGACATGATTACCGAAGACGGATCTGATTTCGTGAGTTTTCTGCTAATGTTCTTCATTCATTCACATTCAAATGAGGCGTTTTGTAAAATTTACATGCAGAAACAGTTCTCATCACTGTTGTAAAACATCAATAAGTTGAGTCATTATTGTTTTATCAGTTGGTGCAGTTTTTTACTGTGACCTCTGAGGCAACAAGAATCTACGAGACAGAAATATATTGACTACCGTAGTCAAATCAGTGTGTTAAGTGCAATCCAGCTGACCTGTTATTTCTGTCTTCAGTTTTTCTCTTGAATACATTATGAATAATTCATGAAAACAATTGTTTCAGGTGCAAAGTGTTGATATCGTGGCTTTCAATAAGATCTGAAAATTTACATTATACATGCACTGTACGCGTTCCTTTTCCGATTGTGCCGATCGTTGTCGTTGTTTTCTGTTGTGATTCGAGTGTTTTCTGTTGTTTTTGAGTCAATAAAA